CCCCCCACATCTGATCGGCCAAGGGCCCCAGTGGCCCTGCCACCGATTGGTTCTAAGGGCTGTCTGTCATGCATCCCTGCCCCTTGCAACTGGCAGGCAGCCATCGTGGGCCCCCCTTCATGCAAGCAGCCCCCTCCCCTCTGGGGAGCCAGCATTTTAATTTTCAGTAAGGTTCTCCCCTACCCCTCGTGGATTTTGCAGGCATTGCCCCATTTTGCATGCAATGCTGGTTTCTGCAGTTTCCATGGACATTTCAGTAGGTCGCTAGTGATACAGGCCTCGATTCAGATGGCACGTACTCCAGATGAGTATCCGCAAATTATTCAACTAATGCATTCCTAATATCCTCCTTCCTTTCTTTGGGATAAGAGAAAGAGGATGGAAAAAGACTGGGGATGACATAAGAGGAAAATATTGGCAGTTCATACAATCAAAGACACGAGGCTAAGAACCTGCTCTAAAGAATTCGGTGTTTTTCCAGTTAAAAAGATTCACCTTCACTGTTCGATGAAGGTGATGCAGTCAAAGCTGTGTCATCATCTTTGCCCTATCAAAGTAAACAGGACTTGACAGATGCATCCTAAAACAACCACCTACGGAAACAACATTACTGTATCAGAAAGCAAATGCAAAAACCTCTGCTCAGACGTATTAGTTTTGGAATAAAGATAGAAAATGTATTTTAGATAAAACACAGGTATTTCTAAATAAGGAGATGTAGATGACGTTCCAATTATGTGATCACTTTTAAGGTTTTGTCTAAAGTGGTTACCCCACGGGGTGTTTGTGTCACCACAAGATGTGCCTCCCCACAGCAAGTTCCACAAAATTGAGTTTGGTTAAAACCAACTCATGGCATGCTGGGGCAAATTCACTAGTCCACATAGTTATAAGGCTGAGGACAAGGGGATAACATTCTTTGAATAGTCCTGTGTTCACACAACGTTGTTTTGCTCCCCGAGATGATCCATTGCTAGAACCTGTTTTCTTTCACCCACACTTGAGCACCGAACCCAATTACAAAACACAACCTTCTTCAAATGCCATTCATGTCAGTTTTCTTTTTAATAAGCCAATGCAAAGAATAGCTTAATTCCTGTGTTTAGGTTTGTCTGTGCACTGCTTACAAGGCTGGAGATGGTCAATGCATTTGCATTATTTTCTATCATAGCTCACCTGACCATTCTTGGTCTCTTCTGAGATTACTGTGTGCCATATTGGCATCTATAAGGACAGATTGCCTAGGATTACTCAAATCTGATGCGATTTGGCTACTATGCCAATGCTTGCAGAATAAAGTTGAAAGGGAAATGTTCTCTCTAAACAGGCCTAATGCAGCAGCACTACACATTATAGAGAAGGGACTGAACTAAAAAAAAAAAAAAAAAAAGTTTAAAAATAGCATCAGCCAAATGCATGCAGGCCTCAGGTATAAGGCCGCATATCTGGATTTTTCCCTTGATTGAAGAGAGACATTCTCAAGGTCGGCTACAGTGCATCTTACCTGGTACATTTTGTCAGCTAGACTCTTGGCAACAAATCAGATCCTGGAAGATCACTCCTTTGGGAACAGGTTCCCAATCCCTCCCCTTCTATCCACTGCCAGCTTCAGGGACTTGGTCAGTGGGGGCAGGAGACTTGCCTGAGACACCCTTGAGTGCAAACTTCAGCTGCTATTTTGTTCCCTTTTGCCATTAACAGTTTACATTTGTTACAGCAGCCTTCAAGATAGTTCAAGATATGCTCGGGGCCTCTTTCTGCCTTCAGTAGTGGAAGGATTGGAAATAGGGACTGTGAAGGAGAACTGTAGCTGACAATCAAGCCTTATGTATTTATTTTTTTATATGGTTCCTCCACTGGAAAATTTTTAGAGGAAGCAAGTGTGTTCCCGTCTGTCACCCTATCAACTGGTAAGCCCACACTACTCCCCATTATAATGTAGATGTTCTTGTGACAGGACTTCAGCATCAACTTTTTTTTGTTAAAACATTCATGATGGAATAAGAATCAGATTTAAAAATATATATCTATTGCATACTACCAGAATCCATAAGGCAGGACGGTTCAGAAGGGAGCCCTGTCAAAGTCCATCAAGATTTTGGTACTAACCTTGACAATGTCTATCTAGCATCAGGCATGCTCTGTGGCCTCTTGACTGGATGGAGATGTCATATGAAAAAGATTCCAGCGCATGAAGGAAATACTGATGTGCCAAATCCTTAGTTTTATGAACTTTGAGCACAGCTCACATCGTTTTGCCAAAATACTAAATGTCCATTATTGGCCAAGTGTCTCAAGCTGCTTTAAGGACTGAACCTGTTATTGTTTTCTTATAGCTAATTTGAAAATTAGCTATTTAACTATTTGTTGATAACAGACTGGAAATTGTTCCTACCCCAGAACTAGTATGCTCTGTTTCTAAACCAAGGGACTAAGGAAGGGTAGAGCATACTTTGCAATGGAAAGCCTAAATATGGTATACGCACAGGGCAAGGAGGCCCGTTAGGAGAGACGAACACAACTCCCATCTCTGACTGACCTCGTCTCCTACTTCATGCCGGGATGCTAGGATCGGACGATAGCATGGAGATCAGCTCATCTTCCTGAGCCAGACATTGATAGGGAGCTACCGAATTTGTGATTTCATGAAATCCGGCGTTGCCTGCAAAATCTGGGCAGTGCCCGTGAAATCCACGGGAGGGGAGGAGGAACAAAAACCCCCTTATTGAGCACTGCAATGGCTCACCAGGGTGGGGCTGCTGGCAAGATGGCTGCCACCCCTACCCCTTGCCTCTGACTGGCTGTGAGGGCTGCCCCTCTAATCAGCAGTGAGGGGCAGGACTGCATGGCAGACCACCTTTTCTGCTAATCAGCAGTGAGGGGTGGGGCCACACGACAGGCAGCCTCTGCATCCAATCAACAGTGAGGGGCAGGACCATTGGGCCCCTCGGCCAGAGGCGTGGGGGGCCTGCTGTGCTCCGCCCACGAGGTGGCTGCCTGGGCCCATAAAATCGGAGGGCAGCTCTTGTGTATCAGAAAAGTCCCTAGACGTTAGTGAGAGCTGCAGTAAGAACTGCAAGGATGGGACTTGTCTAGTCAGGAGAAAGAACATAGCGAATACTCGCCTCCCAGGCGGATGGCCTGAGGAACATAACCCTGCTAAAGGGACATTAGAGAAGAAGGGAGCAGAGAGCCCTGCCTTAGCTCCCAGGTAGGTAGTTAGGAATCGGGTGATGAAGGAAGGACCAGAGTCTCACTTGGACTCCACAGACACACAATCTGTGGAGCACAGAAGATGCAAGAAGTAGATAGGTTCCTGCAGAACATCATGGGTCAGAGGTAAAAGATCCTGACTAAGATGCTGAACCTGTGCCAAAACACTTTCACTTGGGAGAGAGAAAACTGAAAACCTGAAGAAAATCAGTAGTTGGAAAGTGTCTTCGATTCATGGATAGGTGAAGGTAGGCCACTGGTTTATATAGATCTCAAACACAGATATGCATAGCAGCAACATGCCAAGGCAATTTGGAAGTGGTTTACCACTCTCTGCTACATGCACAAGTCAGGATCTTCCAATGCTCATCAACTGGGCACACCCAGCCTGGGCAACTCTGTCAGAAGAAACAGTCCCTGTCCCCAGGATTATGAAATCTAGATTAGATGGGCAATAGAGTTTAGATGCCTAATGAACTGGATGGCAGATTTGTTTTGCAGCATGGCAGCTAACATTTTCTTTTCTTTTCTAAAAAAGCCCTCCCTTGATGGATTATTGCTCAAAGCCTCCCCAAGAGAAGTGATCCAAGTGACAGATTGCTGACTTTAGTAGGGAGACAAGGTGTGCCTTATGTGAAGGCCTGTATGGAAGAATGCATAAGGGCTAAAAAGCCAGACATGAGGTTTTCTTTCACAGCATTAAAAAGAATCCCAATTCTTGACAGTAGCGTGGTAATGCAGAAATACATTCACTATTTAACTGCCAAGTTTTTGGGTTTTTTTTTTCAAATCAAGAAAGGTTTGGCCCAGTTTTTGTGGGACAATAAGTCACTTTTGCAAGTTTACCATCTGACCTTACAAGTATCCCAGGCCCCAGTATTTACAGTACATTGAACAAGCAATCTATAGTTACAAGGCTCCCAAACGGAGTGCTGTCAACAGGAATTTTATATTTCACCTGCAGAGTCGGTTGTTGTTTGGGTTTTTATTTGACAGTAACATTTTTACAACTCGGCCCCGAGGCAGGGTCTCTCTGCAGAGTAGCTGAGGCTCATAAGACAGCATTAATAAGCGTGCTAAGTGCCCTCATAGGAATTTCTTTCTTTTTTTTTAATACCTTGAATAGGTCATACCATGGATTAAACTGACCAATTCTATTCTCACCTTCTCCTCCCCCACTGTCAACCCTTCTTCAAGAAGATGCTTTGGCAATTACCTTGTCTCATATTTTCTGGTAACTTCACCTGATTTTCAAATAGCAGAAACAGGATTTTTTAAAAAAAGAAATACGTTAAAAAATTACTCTCTCCTTATAACAAGAATAGTTTTGCTGACATAAAAAAAAAAAACCAACATATAGAACATATGCAGTGTATGAGAGGAATGATTTTAACAGTTCAGCTACTCAAGTTTCTCGAACCTCTCATCCAAGTCTTCAGGAATTGCTTTTATATGCACAATCCAATCCTGTGACTGGCAGACTGCTGTACCTGTGCAGAGTGGCACTGGAGTCAACTGGACTTTACCTGGGTACAGCAATGCATCTATGAAAGCCTCTACTAGTCTCTGTATTACAGCAGCAACAAGAAACCTCAACTGAGATAAGAGTCCCACTGTACAAGGAGCGGTATGAACACATGGGAAGAAATTGCTCCTGCGCTGAAAAGTTCACAACCTAAACAGACAAAGCCGACAAAAGTGGGAGAAAAGCAGCAGCATCTGGATATTTTCTTTCTACAAATCTCACCCTGCCGCAGGGTCTGCAGTATACCACCAAATGGTAAAGAACTGGGCCCACCGTTATTTTGACATAATGAGCAATCAGCAATGTGGGCAGCTTGAAAGCGACAAAAAGGAGGAAAGCAATTTAATAGTGGGCTACTCACAATACTAAACTGCCCCTCACCTGCCAGTTCATACACCTTTAATTGCCCCGCGGCAGATGTTGCAATAAAACCGCTGCACAGATCCATGTTATCAAGATGACTCGGGCAATGTTGACAGTGAATAGCTTTAATGTGTGGTTCACAACATTTCTGACAAGAGTTAACATTTAATAACTTGACTTCTTTAATATTTAGGGCTCTTTCATCTATAAATATCAATATTTATTTTGATGAAGAAAAACACTGCAAAGTACCCTGTTTGTTCAATGCAAAGTTTAAAGCCCATGTTTCAGTCTGAATTTAGGTTTAGAAAAAAAAAAGTTGAGTTTGCTTTCAACTGTAAACCCAAAATGTCCCAAGGAAAACCTACCTTAAGAGCCTACAAAAACTTCTGCGATAGCTGAGGCGCTGACTAGCTGCAGCCACGCTGGGAGGAAATGGGGGGCGTGATGGGAAATAGGCTAGTGCTGCAGAAAATATCAGGGAGACCATTCCAAATTCTGAAAGAAAATTAAGGAGAAAACCCAGTAATAGTTAGCACTGATTTTAACACTAAAAGCACACTTTAACACAATAAACTAGGAGTCTAGCCTCTTTCATACCAAACTGTGTCCAATGTTTTACAGAGTTCAACAGCAGAATTACAGAGTTAAGATAAGAAGATGCATTGCTAAAATAAAAATAGGAAAATATTTTCAGACCAAATTTCAGAGATCAAGAATCACCAAGGTGGAGAGAGATAGACAGACCACTCCCAAAGATAGACAAGTCTTTTCCTCAGCAGCTCCTAGCTAAGGTTGAAGACTGTGTGAGCAGCTGGAGAAGCAATTGGAGGAGAGCAGAGACAGCTGGTGTGGGAGGAAGGCTAGGGCAACTCTATTTGTGTTTTTTAAGGCAAGGAGGGTAACTTCAAATGAGCACCAAGCAAAGGGCTCCAAGGATGCTGTCCCTTTCCCTGTGTTAGATGGCATGTGTGATGTGTTCGTGTGTAAGCTGGAACAGCTGGAGCATGGGGAAACACTAGAGGCAAGGAATTACAGCGGTCATGGCACAGGATGATGAAGATGCAAAAAAAGGATTCAAAGGTAGAATCAGGGTGACACAATATGCACGTTACCATATATTGTATGGGAAAAGACAGATCTATAAACATAATTAGAAAAGTATTGGATCCACTATCCTCCAAGGATAGTGAGCACAGAAGTAGATGAGAGAGAAACAAAGACACACAGCTGTTTGCAGCTACTGAGCTGGCTCACTAGCAAGTGTCAAACCTTGGAAAAAATTTGCTATGGAAACCTGGACCAAACCTGGGAATTGATGAGCACCTGGAAGGAGATATCACTCAGTCTAATGATCAAACATCTTGGGGGGGGAGGCAGAGTTTACCCCAGTTTAAATTTGTTACAGGTATTTACCATTAAACAGCACTCTCCCTCCCTCCATGCTTAATTTTAACACAATCATCTTCTTACACTTTTTTTTTTTTTTTTTTTTTTTACAGTGTTACTACAGAGACCATGGATTGTGTCATCTTAAGAGCAGCTGTGAACTTATTACAAAGCGGCTCTTCACCAGTGCCACAAATACATTTCAGAAGGGTTGGGGTAGGTGATTGTTTTAACTTCCATCTAAAATCCTTAAAAAAAAAAAGACAAATAGAACATCAATACGGAGAAGGCACTATGCCATCTCTTCTGCCAAACAAAGGGAACATAATTCATGAAATGAAAGCAGATAATACACAACCTAAACAGTCCAATTGGCGGTGAAAAAAAATCCCCCGAAATCCACAGAACAAATGCTTCAGCTTGCTATACAAAATCCCCTGCCCCCCCAAAAACCACACAGGATTTCTTCTCAAGGTGCATTAAAATGACCTCCTTTGAACTAAATTGCGTATCCTTTTCCTACTGCACTCTCATCAAAAATGATGGTTTCTAAGGGTCACGGACATTTTTGCTTTTGCACACTGCAAGATCGCTGCCTATAGGTGTTCAGAATACGCTACGTTCAATGCTGATGTACATTACTGCTTCCAAGGAAAGAATGGGGAATAAGGAACTGGTTTGGGATTTAGTTGAATATGACTAGCTCTAAGAATGAGACGTCCGCTATTTTGTCAGATTGGAGTGACGCCCAGAAGGTGACGCACAGCTTGCCAAAGGCTAAGAAAGCAAATCCACTTGGTCATCACATTTTCAAAGCACAATTTTGAGTCATGGAGCCATTTGGTAAATTCAAGGTGTAGAGAAATCAGGAGACTGGTTACATGATGTTATTACTTCCCTATATCACGACTAGTGTTCTGCATTCTCGTTTTTTATTTAAAAAAATAATAATCTGGGAATTTTTCAGGGTTTATCTTTGAAACAAAAGCCAGGATGAAATTGGGATAGAGAAGAAAAAATGAAAAAACCCCAAAAACAAGTGGTTTAAATTGGCA